TCTTTTCCTCCTCTGTTTTTATTCTATGTATTTATACTTACATGGTATTTTATTGTATGGTGCATTCCCAGGCACTGTGACTTTGCATCACGTGTTCAGGTGCTCCCAAGACCTGCCCTGGACATGCCTGTGAGCCATCTCTCCAGATGACCAGAGATGGGTTAGATCATGGCTTGAGAATAGAGTTGTAGATTGCTACTAAAAGCGTGTATGTGTATCACCAAGAATGGTAAGGTTAGCAAATCTGTACCAGTATAAATGAAACCTTACTTGGTAAATTATTATGAAAGGCTATCCGCTTGAGTCAGTGCAAGCCCCCTGGAAGTAAGCTCAGTTAAGCACATTTAATTGTTCTTTACACACACTGGTTTTGGTGAAAGGGACATGGCCGTTGCTGGAGAAGGCTCAGCAAGACCTCTGCCCAGTTAACAACTACAGTCAGGAAGCAAAGGGGGTAGTGAGATGCAGTGGGACCAAGAGGGAGCACGCTCTGCAAAAGTTGTAAAGCCATGATATCCAGATTCTGTCTGGATCACCCTGGAGGCTACGGTTCAGCTCATGGCAGAGCCTTTCCTGCATGTAAAAAAACAAACAAACTTGTAGCCACAGACAGGTTTGAAAACATTCAGACCATGGAAGGCAAATAAAAAGGAGGTGATAGAAGTCTCTTTAATAATGACTGGGGTACAGAGGGCAGAAAGGGCTGTTCTGCTTCCCCCAGCTTGTAACAGAGTGGGTGTAATACTCAGATTTGCTGCTTTTTCTCAATGTAGTTAGAGCTGATAAGTGGGGTTTTTTTTCCTTTTTGTCTTTTTAAGCAGCATATAACTAAAACTGCAGTTTTGTATTGCAGCTTATGTGGAAGTTTAAAAAAGAATTCAGCAAAACTGTGAAGTTGATGTTTATGCAGCTAAGATAGAAAGGATGTTAAGATCCCCATGTCTTAGTTTTAAGCTGCCCTTTTCAATTACTAGGAATTAGTAACTGGCCTTTCTCTTAAAGTATCTAGCCTTGATCAGTTAGAGCCAGGACACTGTATTCAAGGGACCATAGATGTCATCTGATATGTGAGTTCCTGTATTTCTGACTTAATTAAATAATTCATTATTAGTGACTTAGTTAAAGCAGTGTTTATTCAGTGACTTTGAGCCGTTCAGTGCTTCAGTTCCTTTTAAACTTTGGCAGCAAATATGCACTGCTTCACACTCTATATAAATTATTATTCACGTAAGTAATTTTAATATGAAATCCTACACTGACTTATAATCCAAGTTGCTGTACTTTCAAATTTAGTTTTAATGAGGTTTAGTTTTTTTTAAAATCTACTTTGACTTCTAAACCAAACACTTCATATTACAGGAATAAAGTCTATTTTTATCAGCCCCGATTTATTCTGCCTAATTATTTGGGCCTTGCGGTCGGTCATGAGCCCAGCTGCCTGGGGAGAAGGCAGTGAGAGCTGGGGCTGAGATGAGCCCAGTGGGCCAGGGGCAGGCAGACGCTGCCAGGTCTCTGACAGATGAGAATGTAACTGGTCACGGGCTTTGCCATGAACCAGGGCTCGCTGGCAGCGTGATTTAGAGGTTGAAGGGCACACCCATGGAAAAGCAGTAGAGGAAGGGCACAGCCATGGAAAAGCAGTAGAGGAACTGTTTGTCCCTTTGATTTCTGTTTGGCTCTTGATGGCTTGCTGGTTCCTTGACTGTTGCTGGGTACTCCAAAGTAGCCAGGATTGAAGAGCAGTTCAGCTCTTCAGACTATGCAAAAGACCATTTTCTTGCTCGGTTGCTTTTCCCTCTTTACACACAGACACAATTGCAGTACTTTGCTTTTAAGAAACATGAATGCTTTGCTGCTTCTTGTAACTTGGTTAACTTTGGAGAGTCAACCCACGTGATGGATGTGCACCAGACTCTGTTCCTGCAGTGCACCAGCAGACCCATACGTCCCATCAGCTGCACTGGTGCCAACTCCATTAATGGTGATGGGGGTGCCCGAGTGTCACCTGGCACAACTGTGGGGTCCCCACCCCATCCTGGGGCCTCCAGACCCTTTATAGCTCCCGATTAATGCACAGCAGAAAAGAGTGTGTTTTATCTCAGTTAGAGATAGCCGGAATGGCATTTGAAGTAAAAGGTATCTGGGGGCTAACTGAATGCATTTGATATAAAAATGATTGAGTGGCAATAAACTTTATAATAGCCTACTTCAGCATGTGCTTTCTCTCCAGTGCTTGGAAGAAGGCGGTGGACTCCGTCTGTCTGTGACTTTCATCACTTCAGAGCAGATTTTGCAATTATGCTGGCCCTGGAAACCTGTAGAACATGACACCCGTTCCCATTATTTATCAGTATCTCTCATTTGTAGTTTTATGACTCCGTTTTAGGACACTTGTTTTAATTGGTTTCAGCTGACAATAGCTAACTTCAGTTATTTGCAATATTGCGTTTTGGGATGGTGCTGGTTATGATGAATAATAGTAGACAAACCTATATATTTCCTTAAGGGACACAAATCATGCTTGTCTTCCAAGTGCACTGATGGTTTGGCAGGGTGAAAGGATGAATAAAAATTGCCTTCCAAGTGCGTGCAAGTTGACAGCCCAAAAGGTGATTTTCTTGACTCATATACTTCAGGTTGCTGGGTTTTACGTCGCAAGTCTCCAGAACAAATATTGCTTTTGGAAAACCTAATCAAATTCTGCCATAAGAGTTCAGTTACTGCGTATCAGGCCTCAAATGATATGCTTGATTTAGACTTCTCTGGAGTTTAAAAATCGTAAATTTTATCAGCAGTGGTTTTCTGGAAAAATGCAAAGCAAAAGTTGAAACTTTTTTAGAACAAACTTGGGCACTAGGGTTTCTAGTGAGGGTGAATTCAGCATAGAAATATAAACCATTTAATGTTTTTTAAAAGGCTCCCTTCATTTCCTCAGGAGCACTTTGAATGCATGCTGTCACCCCACATCGTATCATTGTGTTACCTTACAAACTTTGTTGTAGTATCATGTGCTGATACTGAAATTTGTATTATTTGTTGGGTCACAGTTTTAGATGTCTTTAATGGAAAGGAAGTATCAAAAGGAATTTAACAAAAGGGGAGTGAAAAGGTAATTTGGGTCATTTAACTTCTCTCTGCCAGTCTCAGGCTGGCTAGAAGAGACATTTTAATGTAAAAATTGGTGCTTAGTTTCAACTTTTGCTTTGTGGGCTCCATATTGGGAAGAAAAAAAGTAGAGCTACCAATTCATTGCACCTTCCCCACAAAAAAAAATCCAGGCTTCTATTTTGTAGGTAGTATTTTGAACACAGGGTACAAAAACTGCAGCATGTGGCTACCATGTAGCCACTTCTGACTCCAAGTCAAGAGAAATTTGGTGTAGTTCAGAATGAGTAGGAGCAAACTTTGATTGGAAAAAGAAGAGAGCGATACGATGTAGTGATCTGATGCAGACTACGGATTAGGCTGTTTAAAACCGGGCAATCAAAGCGATTAGATTGGAATGGTAAGCGCTGAAGGGTTCGAGAGCCCACTAGCAGATGTTGTATCGCACTCGGTCATAGCGCCCAAGCGAGCAGTGAATAAATGGCCCTTGGGGAGGGAGCGTTCGGCCGCGGCTGTGGCCAAGCAGCCAGTTCTTTGAGCAGACAGCTTGCCGGAGGAGGTGCCTTCCCCTTGCTCTGGTTATGGTTTGGTGTCTCGTTGAAACTGAGCTTGGTTGAATGCTCGGTTACGCGATGAGTAAGTACATTGATGGCACTAAATGGTGATTTTTCCTGAAAACAGAGGTCTGAAACGGTGTAACACTCATGTAGCCCTGGTGAAAAGTTTTGAGCTGCTGTTACTAGTAAGCGGTTTTGGTTTACTACTCTTAAGCCTTGCTGCCTGGCTTATCTTGAAAGGGGTCGGCCCCCTCTCTGTTTTCTTTTTAAGGTGCAACTATAGAAAGGAGGACTGAAATGACCAAGGGAGGGGAGTCCTACCAGTGTTTCTCTGAGGAAATAAAGCTGTGAAACAAAGCTTTGTTATGCCATTTGCAAAAGTAGTTTGGCAGAGAGATGGGAAAGCATTCTCCTGGATATAATTGCAGCTCCTCTGGTAATAAGCTCTTAAAACACCAAGTAAATACTGAGCTGATAAAATTCGTAGTAATTTTCCTCCCTCTCATCCCAAAGCTTACTGAAGAACGTGTTGCTATTTTAATTCTTCCTTAAGTCTGAGTGGCTTCATTGGCTGTCTGTTGTTGTTTTACTGTAAGGGGCAAATTATATTACTCATTTGAGTAGAACATGCAAAATCTGTTAAACATTATGTTTGTATGAGGCCCAATGCTTTCTTCCATCTATGTGACTCTGCTTGCTGTAGTATTCCTCCAGGAGAGAAAAGGCACAAAAGGGAAGGCAGCTGTGGCAGACATTTCCACTGCCTTGTGTACCTTTGCCGGCAGTCTGGAGTTTCTGTAGTTAAGTGACATTTGGCTAGAAGAATCAGACGTTTGATGTTCACCCCTTTGGGATTGAGGATTTTTTTTAAAAAGGATCATAAATTGCAGTAGTTGGAAGCAGCAGAATGAAGAGCAAGACAATGACAAATTGACCAAATGGCAGCTTAATTTTATATTGATCTACAGAGAAATACAAAAGACTCTCATCTATGCCAGTCAACAGGAGTTCTGTAAAACAGGGATGAGTTAATGACTCTAAGCTGTGTCCCTTTTTGAGTACGGGATGTGACAAGATTACAAATATGATTGCAAACACCTGTAGTGTAGTTATTTGGGATTGGGGGCTTATAGTTAACTAAATTGGAAACACACAATCAGGCAGGTTCTTACTGGATACCTCGGTTTAAAATCAATGTTATCAGCATATCTCTTTGCAAGATAGTTGCTTTGGGCATCAACTCTCCACTGCTAGTGTTATGCATGAATTTTTGTAAAATCCATTTGGCGCTGGTAATGCAGGTTTTGAATATTGTGTACAACTTTGTCATGTTTGCAGGACTTCTCACTAATGGCCAATCTAAAGGATTAGGACCAGGATCAGAACAGCTGGAGAATGAGAAGGACGATGCATCGCAAGTGTCCTCAACGAGCAATGATGTTAGTTCTTCAGATTTTGAAGAAGGGCCCTCGAGGAAAAGGTCAGTACTGCATTATGATTAAAGTATAGCCTTTCTGTTTTATCCCTTTTGTGCTATAAGGTTGTGATTATGTTGTCAGTAGGGTATGGTTGTACATACTGCCCTACCATAAACAGACTTTCCAGTGTGGAGTCCTTCTAGTAACAGTGAGGATATAGTAAATTTTGTTTCATCCATCGATATAGATGGTTCTTGTTGTTTTGGAAAGGATGGAAAAGTAGTTGTTGTTTTGCAGTAGGTGATTGCTAAATTAAATGCCTTAAGACTCTGTCCTCCTGTCCTCCCTCCTCCTCCCCTCTCTTTGGCCTCTCAGGGACATGTCAATATGTATGTGTGTGTAATCTCAAGGAAAGCATCGCTAATGTACTTAGTGTTACTGTTGTTAGTTTTAATTTTCTGTGAATGAAACCACGTGAAATTAAAAAAAAAACAAACCAAAACCACCAGATGCTTCTGAGAAGAGAAACTGTATAGTGAGGCAGTGTGGTGGGCATTGGTTGCAAAGGACTACTTTGAGATACTGCTGTAGCAAGCTGCCTCCTCTTTCCTAGAAGCCAGTTACGAGGACTCAAGCCAATCTATTATAGAAAATATGCTGAGAATGCAGGAGGCTTGGAGATGTCCTCTGTATGAAGTAAGAACCAAAACAAGCTGTCTGAAAAATGCCATTTAAAAGAGAGAAACGGAAGATGCTTTCTCAACCTTTTTCCTCTACACTCCTTGCATCCTAGTCCCAAGCTAAAATGAATAGTAAAATAAAGTTATCTTTCAAACAAAAGAAATATTCCTATTTTCTGTGTGATCTTACAGTTCCCCTGAGAAGCCTAATGGGGTAAGGAGAATGGTGCTTTCCTGGGCGACCCCCGTGTGTCTGTTCCTGTTTCCCCCACCCTTGGTCCCCAAACCTTTTTTACCTCCTGAGCAACGAACTCAAAGTCTAGTTAATCAGCCCACTTAGCTCCTCCGGTGTGTCAGAATAAAATTTGTGTTGTCTTCTATACTGGTAAATATTTTGTAAGGCTTATTGCATCCCAGTGCTCGTCAGGGAAAAATATTTGTGTGTTTATTTTTGGCTTTATGAGATATAATGGAGTCTGGAAAATGATTTCTGCTGAGAAATTTAAGTGACATCCACTGTAGGCGTGATATTGGGAGACAGTGGTCGTCATTTCAAGGCATTGCCACTGATGCTTGCATGTTATCTTAAGGAATTTTTGCTGCCCTCTGCACTTGCCTTGTCTCCTTGTTCCTCAGCTGCACTGACACAACCGCTTGCAGGGTCGTGCCATGAGTAAGTTCAAGGAGCTGGTTAGGATTAAAAATAGTAGCCAGAGGAAGACTGATTGAGAATTTTGCCAGAGTTCTTTATTTTTAACCTGTGTGAGTTTTCATACCTGGTTCACAGCATGGCTGCAGGAGCAGCCACTAGTGCAACCGAGGGGGCATCCTCTTCCTCTCTTGGGGCTGGCAAGGGGCAGGAGGGCTTGTCCTTTACACTGTTCCTGCTTTTGGTGCCCTGCACAGTCCAGCTTCAGAAGCGAGTTGGATTGCTACATCACCATCCCAAGAAACTGTGTTTAGAGTATTGCAAGCAAAATTTTTTTGGAGGAAAATTTGCTAGTTTCTGGCTGTGGGAATTGAGAAGTAGCTGGGTGGTTCAGGCCTAATAATAGGGAACTTCGTGCCTTTGGTACTTTTTGGGTTAAAAACAAACCACCACCACCACCCAAACAGAAGCTAAGGTGAAAAATATCTTTCTGGCTTTTGTGGAAGACAAGGCATCATTTCAGTTCTTCTTCATGCATCATGAACTGTTGACACAGTATTATGTTTGTTGCTGCAGTTGCTGTGTAGGAGAACATTCCGGTTCTGTTTCCATTTACACCCAACACAGACTTTTATCTACTTTTTTCCTCCCCCAGCTTCCTCTGTGCAGACAGACCTCCTCTGGGCTCCTTCTCTTAAGCTGTACTGCAGCATGTTGAGTGTTGTGATGTCTTCCTGTTGTTCCCTTTGACATTTTTTGTTTTGTTTAGCTGAATATGTAATGATTCCTCGATCGTGGCCATCTTGGGATCCCACAAAGAGTTGTGCCAGAAATACTGGGTGGACAAAGGATATGCAGGAGGATGAGGAGGGGGGATGGGACTGAAATGGGATCTATGGGTTCACTACCTCAGCTCAGCAAGTTTTGAGAAATTGTCCCCTCCTTGTCTTCCCCGGGCTTCCTCAAAATCAAACTTTTCAGTTGTCTGTTCAGCTCTGTATAGAACTAATGGCACTCTTGTGCTAAAATACACATTTAAACACTGTAGCTTTAGCATGTACTTCATGCAGTTTTTTCCCCTCCCCCAAACGAGTATTTGTCTTCTCAAAATAACTGCTGTATAGCTGGTGGTATATGCAGTGAAATGATTTTAGGGCTTGGTGCACTTAGTGAAGCGTATGTGTTTGGAACTTGCTCTATACAATACAGTGAGTTTTGAGTACCAGGTTTCCTGTTGTGTTTGAACCATGCATATATGTAAGCTACTATTTATTTTTTTAATGGGTTGTGAGGTTTTGGTGGGGTTTTTTCTGGTGTATGGCAGGAATGTTTCTTTTGGAAACTTGAAACTGTCATCTTCTCAAGGAATAGGCCACCTGTATTTCACACCAGTGACAGCAACAAAGGGTGCTAAGCAAGTAAGCATAGTCAATAAGGGAGGCTGTTGTAAGGAGCTCCAGTTTGTTGAGTAGTTTAAGGCTCTGGTTTGACCTTGCAGTTCTTCAGTGCAGTGGCAGGCTGGTACTATGGAGGCAAACAGTCTCTTCCCAGTTTTTTATTCCCTCCCCTTCCCAGCTGTCATGTCTGGCAATCTTCTGGCCCCCAGGTCAGTCAGTTTAGTGGATTTTCCCCCCTGCTAGAGCATGTCACGTTATATAAATAGAACAGGGAGATAGATCCACATGTGTGTACAGCATGTGTGTGTTTAATTTGCATTTATAGTTGATCCAAACTCTTCCAGTTTCAGAGATGATTTGCACGAGAGCCTGGATGAATAGCAAGTGCCAATTCTCACAGCAAGCTGAGTGGAGGGTGAGTTTGCTAGCAGTTAGCATTGCCACGTGGTCTTACTATGCCAGTCATCTCTGGTGTAGATTTTCCTCAGGTCAGAACTAGGCAGTGGATGTTCCCAGCAAGTTACTGGTCAGAGGACTTAGTTGTAGATAGGTAGGTGCTGACAAGCGTTTGTGGGGGAGGCAAACCCCTACCACCCTGCCTGTTGATCAGTGAAGGGATTACTGCCTAGCATTCCTTATCTCGCACATACATGCGGAGCTGTGTAACATAACAGTAGAACCCCCAACCAAGCACTGCTTCACATTTATCACATCTATTTTTTTTTTTCAGTTTCAACACATTTCCTAGTAACATAACTTGATTGAAGAGCCATGCATGCCATGAAGAGAGCATTTTGATGGCAGGAAAGAGATTGCAGTTCTGGTGAAAGTAGGCTGATTTAATATAATGCTGCAGATTTTGTTCAGAAACTCACTTAGATACTTTGTGTTTGATGGGCCAGGCTTTTCAATGCTGTGGCCCACTGCTGTTAGGCTTCGAAGGGCTCCAACTAGTCTTTGTAGGTATTTTGTCAGTAATTAACACCTTTGCTCCCTGGGGACTAGAGGAAGCTTCCTACACAGCCAGATTTGCAGCCAATGGGAAAAGTCCCATCTCCGTTTCTTTTTAAATGTAGAGGTTTAGATTGCAGCAGAAACCATGGAACAGTACTAAAAGTGTGCAGCCTGCCATTGTGTTACACTGCAGGTTTCAGCTGCGATAGCTTGGTGGTGGTAAGGAGGAAAAGAAGGACATGTACAGCTTTGACTGTGCAAAGTCTTCAGATCAGTCCAAAAATTGTAAGACCTACTTACAGAATAAATGACATTTAAGGAGGATTGGCAATGGCAATAGTGGCAAGCTCAGGACTTGAAAGTACTTAAATTTGTTTGAGCTTCCACTCAAAGAATAGACAATACTTGCTTTGGTCTGAGCTGTGTCTATTACAAGTGACCAGGTCTGAGTGGGAAGCAGAGGGTTAATCCTGAGTAGTAAATACTACTTTCAGCCAGTAAAGAGGTGTCAGTGTTATTCTAGCATTTGGCAAAAGCTAAGCATTCAAATATTACACTGAAGCTGTTGTGTAATGGGTTGCTGTCTTGACTGCCGCATAAGTGAGAGCAGTTTCCAGTTTGTTGAATGGTTCTGGGAGAGATGAACAAAAGCATTGGCATACAGGCTTGATAAACTATCCGGTTGGATGGCCTTCACTGAGCAGAGAGCATGCATTTTAAAAACCCATAAAAAAGGTAATTGCTGAAGGAGAAGTGGTGTAACTTCCATGTAGCTGCAAGTTCTTGGTATGAATCTCCAATTTCTGGCTATGATTCTCAGTTGAGAAGGTCAATAGGTAACAGGCCAAAGGTGTTTGAGTCTCTGTGCTGGATGCTTGTACATTTTTATGGGCAACTCTTAAGACTACAACGACTGGCAATTAATAACAGTGTGCGGAGACAACTATATGTTTTCTAGCAACAGTTGCTCACCTTACCCAAGAAGAGACATATGCAGAGCAGACTTTATGTGACAATATGTTAATCTTTGGTTCCTGCTACTGATCAGGTGGCTACTCATTTACATGGCCCCCTTCCCAGAAATGCACACGAGGAATTGCCAAATGCACAAATGCATTTATCTTCTATTGTAAAGTTCTGTTAATAGAAGGCTGTGATAAATGGGACGAGGTTGACTGACTTTAATAGTAGCTAAGCTTTAAATTTGGATTTTTTTTACTTAATGTTAGAATATTTTCTCCATTAAGGGGGACAAAGAAGTTTGTTTAGTTCAGAAGAAAAATAGGGTGAAGAAATTTCCCCCTGTCGCAGGAGCAGCAGAGCGGATGCATGTTCCCCCCTGGATCGAGGGTGTGCACAGCTCCCAGGAGAAGACACTTTGT